GAATGCACAAAGAGATGAAAAAATGAAGATTTCACATGGCAAACCAACACATTGGCAATTTGCTTTTGGGATATGTGTGGGCAGATGTGTGTTTAAATTTAGAACCAGCAAATACTTAAGACTTCTGAGAAATTGATATGCTTCGTGCTTTTTGAGTATTATAATATAATAGAACCATGAAACTCATAATCTTTCAGTTTGTGTACTGGCTGCAAAAAATGCTCAAAAATGAATTTCCCCTTGATTTATGTCTATTTCAATCATGTTTTATATGCATGCCTTTTTCTTTAGACTACCAGAAATCATTTTGGGAGGAGCGTACATCATTTGACTTGATTTGGATTGGAAGGGAGTCACTAAGTCATGAGAAGAGAAAGTAGACATTAGGGACACCAAGACTTTCTAAGGGCTTCATGGTGCAGACAGGAAAAAACACCTGGGCTCTCTGCATGGCTGTCAGGAAACTAGACAGAAGGGCCTCCAAGTGTAGGGTTCTTTACGGGTGCTAAGCCCCCAAGGAAGAATCTTGTTTAGGGATGGAAGGGATATAGGGAGGCGGGAGAGAATTATGGCCTTCTAGAAAAGAAAGTTAGAAAGGGCTCTAAAGCAAAACAAAAATTTTGGGGTGGGTGTGACTTAGTTAACTAAGTATGGATTATTTTTATTTTTTGCTTATGTATTTATTTATTTTTATTTATTTTGAGACAGAGTCTCACTTTGTTGCCCTCCGTAGAGTGCTGTGGCGTCACAGCTCACAGCAACCTCAAACTCTTGCCCTTAAGCAATTCTCTTGCCTCAGTCTCCCAAGTAGCTGGGACGACAGGGACCCACCATAACACCCAGCATTTTTTTGTTGTAGTTGTTGTTTGGCAGGCCCAGAATGGGTTAGAACCTACTAGCCCTGGTGTATGTGGCCGGTACCCTCGCCATTGAGCTACAGGTGCTAAGCCAGTATGTATTATTTTTATAAAATATAACTTTTAGCCCATGATCCATGTCCTAGAGTCTGTGGATAATCCTCCTCCCATATAAAACAAAGATAAGGATGCCTGGCACAGAACAATGCACACCATGATTGCCACAAACATCAAGTTACTAACAATGTCCTAAGATAGTAAAATAACAGTTAATAATTATTAATACAGAGTAAGAAAATAGATTCACATGACAACTGAGGTAATCCACAACAAATAAAACCAGGATGACCAGTCTGAAGGCCTAAGGAAAACCAATGCAAATTCTTATAGATGGTTGTAGAAAAACTTGGGATGAAAATTCTTATATTCGGCTCAGCACCCGTAGCACAGTGGTTATGGTGCCAGTCACATGCACCAAGGGTGGCAGGTTTTAACCCAGCCCAGGCCAGCTAAACACCAATGACAACTGCAACAACCAGTTGTGGTGGTGGATGCCTGTAGTCCCAGCTACTTGGGAGGCTGAGACAAAAGAATCACTTGAGTCCAAGAGTTTGAGGTTGCTGTGAGCTGTGACACCATGGCACTCTACTGAGAGGGACATAGTGAGACTCTGTCTCAAGAAAAAACAAAAATATGTATGTATATCATCGTATTGTTTTTGTATGAAGTCTCCTCTCATCCCCAAAAGGAACCCTTTTCCACTCTTTAGAAAAATCTAGGCTCGGCGCCTGTGGCTCAAGCGGCTATGGTGCCAGCCACATACACCTAAGGTGGCAGGTTCGAATCCCCAGCCTGGGCCCGCCAAACAACAATGATGGCTGCAACCAAAAAATGGCCAGGCATTGTGGCGGGCACCTGTAGTCCCAGCTACTTGGGAGGCAGAGGCAGGAGACTGGCTTGAGCCCAGGAGTTGGAGGTTGCTGTGAGCTGTGATGCCATAGCACTCTACCCAAGGGGATAGCTTGAGGCTTTGTCTCAAAAAAAAAAAAAAAAGAAAAAGAAAAATCTATGCTTATCTCTATTTTCCTTTATTCTTTTTCTTCACTTAAATAAAAACTTTACTTCTAGGCCAGGAGGCCAGGCACGGTGGCTCACACCTGTAATCCTAGCACTCTGGGAGGCTGAGGCAGGTTGACTGCCTGAGCACCATCTCTAAAAACAGCCAGGCATTGTGTCTGACACCTGTAGTCCCAGCTACTCAGGAGGCTGAGACAAGAGAATTGTGTAAGCCCAGGAGTTTGAGGTTGCTGTGAGCTATGATGCCACAGCACTCTACCAAGAGTGAAAAAATGAGACTCATGCCAAAAAATAAATAAATAAAAAATAAATTTTTCTTCTATAAAATTTTACTTTACTATATTAAAGTCTCAACAACATAATTTTTCTATTACCCCTATTTCTTACTCTTCCTTTAACTCAGCAGAACTAGCAACAGAACTAGCAAACCAGGTCTACCAAACAACTCAGAGGTGAATGCTTACCTCTAACAGAGTTCAAGGTTCAAATTACTCTCAACATCTGCCCAAGATTCCCCCATTCCACCAATAAAACTTCCAGCTTGGAGAAACTGAGGTTAAGAAGGAAGAGCTTGGCTCGGCACCTGTGGCTCAAGTGGCTAAGGCAACCACATACAGCTAAGGTAGCAGGTTCAAATCCAGCCTGGGCCCACCAAACAACGACAGCTGCAACCAAAAAATAGCCAGGCATTGTGGCAAGTGCCTGTGGTCCCAGCTACTTGGGAGGCTGAAGCAGGAGACTAGCTTGAGCCCAGGAGTTGGAGATTGCTGTGAGCTGTGATGCCACAGTTCTCTACCCAGGGGGACAGCTTGAGGCTCTGTCTCCAAAAAAAGGAGGAGGAGCTTCCTGGCATCCTTAGGTTAGGGTAAGGTGACCAGACGTCCTACTTTTGGCGGAACAGTCCCAATTTTTAACAATTTGTCCTGCCTCCTGTGGCATTTTTAAAAAGTCCTGATTTTTGTAAAGAATGTATGACAAGCTAGGGAACAGCGGGAGAATGGGAAGGGAATATACGGTTTTTGGCTGCTGAAAAGGTTAATGTAACTTCATTTGGAAATGAAAAGGCTAATGTAAACTCCCTACTCCCCTCCTGGGCAAGGTATCAGAAGGAGACTGGCTCCCTCCCTTGTTTCTAGGCAAGGACAATTAGCTCAGAAGGAGCCAAACAGTCTGGAAAAACAAGTAGCCCCTCCCCCCTTGAGTAAGGTGACCAGACATCCCGCTTTTGGCGGGACAGTCCCAATTTTTAACAATTTATCTTGTGGCGTTTTAAAAAAGCCCCGATTTTTGGAAAGAATGCACAACAAGGCTCAGCGCCTATAGCTCAACCGGCTAAGGCGCCAGCCACGTACACCTAAGGTGGCGGGTTCGAATCCCCAGCCCGGACCCGCCAAACAACAATTACAGCTGCAACCAAAAAGTAGCCGGGCATTGTGGTAGGCGCCTGTGGTCCCAGCTACTTGGGAGGCGGAGGCAGGAGACTCGCTTGAGCCCAGGAGCTGGAGGTTGCTGTGAGCTGTAATGCCACGGCACTCTGCCCAGGGGGACAGCTTGAGGCTCTGTAAAAAAAAAAAAAAAAAAAAAAAGAATGCACAACAAGCTAGGGAACACAGGAGAACAGGAAGGGAATATACGGTTTTCAGCTGCCATGTGGCTATTTCACCAGGATATGTGTTTTATATTATTTTGTTAATTTTATAATGTTAAACTTTAATAATAACAAATAATTTTGAGAACTGATTATCGAGAACTGCTTATCAAAGTTTGCATTGTTGTCAGGCCCTGCCCCACAACGGTGTCCCCCTTCACCAATGTTAAAATCTGGTCACCTTAGGTTAGGGGGTAGACCAAAAAGCATCCCAATGCAGGCTTCAAGTGGGAGCAGGGACTAAGGGTGGGGATGTGAAGCCCATCCCCAGCCCTGCCACTGTGTGGCCTTGGGCAAGATCTCTCTCTCTCTTTTTTTTTTTTTTTGCAGTTTTTGGCCACGCCTGGTTTGAACCCCTCACCTCCGGTATACGGGGGCCAGCGCCCTATTCCTTTGAGCCACAGGCGCCACCCATTAGGCAAGATCTCTTTAAAGGAAAATAGAAACCACAGGACTACTCTCCTTTCCAACTTCTTATGCAAAAGGAGAGGCAAAAGCCTCAGGAACCCATGAAGAGCTACACCCACAAATCATTCCTAAGGAAATTCCTGGCTAGCCTCCCATAACAAAGGACATGCAAATTGTAATAGTAAAGTCTAGCTCCTGAAACTAAAGTCTATGCCGTTCTTCCCAGGTGCAGAAAGGAGATAGACAAGACAGGATCCTTCTTCTACCTACCTAGGGACATTTGCATAATTGGTGTTTCCTACACTTGTTTATTTCTTTTAACATTTGCCTTAACTTACAATATAGATTTCCTAGGCCTCACAAAAAATGTAACCATTTGTCTTACTCCCCCCCTCCCATTTTCTTTCTTTCCTTATACCCTATCCCCTCTGAGTTCCTAAATCCCTTTGGAAAAGCAGTCACAGCTTGTACGAGTATTTGAGTTGTATTTTTCCCAGACATAACTTCAAACGTTGGCTTAATAAACTCCACTGACTGAGATCTTTGCCTTTGTCTCTCATTTAGGGTTATCACTCTTAACCTTAACACCTGCCCGTAAAATGGGGTGGTTAAGATTAAATGAACTGTTACACACAAAGCACTTGGAAAATGCTCCCGTTATTCTTGCTACACCTGTTAACAGCCCCAGACGATACACGAGGGCTGAGGGTTCACTCCATCTTCTCTGGAAGTCAGGGGTCTGAAGACCCTCTTCTGAAGAAGCCGAAGGTCTCTGAGGGCCTAGGGCCCAGCTCGCTTTCCTAAAAAATGCGGCCTGTCCCTAGGCACCTAGAGAGGCTCCAGACAATCTGATACGCTCTAGGTCCCGGGGGCCTCGGGCGCCTCGGGCGCCGCCATCCCTAAGCACAGAAACCCTCAGCAGTCACCATCGGGTGGGCGGGGCCTGAGGCGGGGGCGGGCCCACGTCCCCGACGCAGAGCCACTTCCGGGCGCGGCGCGGGCGCGGGTGAGCGGGTGTTTCCGCGGGCCTCCTGGCCCGGCATCTACCGGTGTGTGTGGTCCTCTTGCCTTTAGCGGGTGCAGCTAGTCCATGCGGGCGACGGTGCTTCCAAGTAGGGCAACCAGAGCCCTGCCAGTGCCGTGGGGCCGGGTAGGCCGGGACAGCGGCGATGTATCGGGAGCGCGGGGAATTTGGGGCACCTGGGGGATCGGAGGGCGCGGGGAGTTAGGGAGTCTGGGGCCTCGGAGGCCTAAGGGATCGGGGAACTTAGGGCCTGGGGACCCGAGGGATTGGGCGGGTCCTACATTGGGCCCTAATCACACTGCAGCCCCGGGACCCCTCCTCTCTTTGGGGCCGTCCTAAATCACCTGATCCACAAAGCTCCAGGCGGAGTCTGTATGGGGTGGCAGTCTCTCCCTTTAGAAGGGATCTACTTGTGTTTCTGTTTTATGCCAAGTGATTCTTAGTTTGGAGCCCCAGGGCGTATAGACTGTTTGATTGACTCCTTCCCTCCCCCCTCTTTCTTTTTGACCTAAATTAAAGCTGCCATTAAAGAGACTCAGACATGGAAAGCAAACCATTGGTGATATCGAAGCAGAAGACTGAGGTGGTATGTGGGGTCCTCACCCAGGTGGTGTGCACAGCCTTCAGCAGTCACATCCTGGTGGTGGTGACCCAGTTTGGGAAGATGGGTACTCTGGTCTGCCTGGAGCCCAGCAACGTGGCCAGCGACTTCTGCAAACCGGTGCTCACAACAAAAGTCCTTCTTGGGCAGGATGAGGTATGAGGGAGGAGGAGGAACCTAAAACCTCTTCCATGGCTGTGATTTGTTAGTAAGGACAGGGAGCATCTAGTGGATGAGCCTCTGACAGCATTTTCTGGGGCTTTCTAGGTCTGAGGGCATCCCTCTTACCCTTGGCAGGTACGTCTCCCAGCTTGTCATCAGTCTATTCAGCAGACAAGTGGAGGGATTGGTTTTGTAATTATGGGCCGCCTCCTCCATCTGACCCTGTCATGATACATTAAGTTAATGAGTGACTGTCCAGGCTCTTTCTGGAAAGATCATCTGTCCTTTCAGATCAGAGACAGCCAGGAGAAATAAGAAGTAGAAGGCATGAAGAAAATAAATGTAATGCCCTGTTAGCAGTTTGTTTATGACTGGAGTGTTCTGAGTATCTCATTGAACTCTGAATCACAGTTGCATCAACTTATGGGATGGTGATTTAATAGTGTGGGAAACCAGTGTGGGTTCTTGAGGGATACTTAATGAAAGCATTAAGGGAAAATAGGTTTCTTGAAGCTAAAATGATTTCCTTCCCTTCCCTTCCCTTCCCTTCACCAGCCTCTCATCCATGTCTTTGCAAAGAACTTGGTAGCGTTTGTGTCTCAAGAAGCTGGAAACAGAGCAGTCCTGCTAGCCATGGCCATGAAGGACAAAAGCATGGAGGGCGTGAAGGCCTTGAAGGAGGTGATCCGGGTATGCCAGGTGTGGTGACCTAGAGTCAGCCACATGCTGTCCAGAAAGACCAATTGGAAACTCAGACACTCACTCAGTGACTCGAAGACCCTCCTCCCATCATAGCAGAGGGAAGAACTTTATCTGGCTTTAGCACTTGAAGCCAGAAAAAATATTCATGTCTAAGGCAGACTTTTACTCTGTTTGGTTACTTATATCTGTGTATGGAGGGGAGAACTGGAATGTGTCTTGGAAGTCATGAATGGATCTTCCCTGGGGTCCAGATAGGTGTTTATATTTGGTGTTTTTCTAAGTCATACTTATTTACAGCTGCCCAAAGCTGTGTGGTAGCTATTAAAAATGCGGACTGAGACTAAATATTTTCATCACCCAAGCCAGTGTCTTTCTGCTCGGCCTTATAAATCAGGCACATGCCTTGTGTGAGAAGGCACCTGACCCTTTATTTTCTGTGGCACTTCACCCCCAGCCACTGTTATTGAGGGGTAAAGATCCATCCGCTGGTGAAGAGATCTACAGAGCTGGCAGTTTCCACAGGCAAGGTTGTCGGCTCTGTGGAAGGTGTTACTCCTTTAGATGGAAAGGTGTAATTGTAACTTCCAACACTTTGCAGCTGCATGTGAATAATGGACATTGGGCTAATTGGCAAGCTCTGCGTAGAGATGATCAGGGCAGTGCCCTTGCATCATCAGTGTGATTCCAAAACTATTTTCTGCTGAGCTGCAAGTTGAATCCCCCAAAGTGTTCCTTCCCCTTTTGCTTCTTTTCATAAGTCAGCATGGGGATGTGTCCAGGCCAGAGCTAAGGATGTGTCAGGACCATGGAGGTCAGGAAAAGCCAGTGAGTGTGGCTGTTTTCGCCATCATCTTCAAGCAGTTTCTCCAGGAGTTTCACGGACCCCTGGACCTGCCTGAATCAAGTATAGAAATCTGCAGAATGAGATAGCGGTGCCAGGGGACTGCGGGTTAAGCCAGCCTTGGTTATTTTGTTAAGTGCCTGGGAGTGAAATTGGAAATCAGGACAAGGAGCCCTGGGTAAGTGACTAGAATGAGGGCCCAGTCAATGGGGAAGTCTGAGAAACCAGCCTGAGGTGGACAGAGAAACTACAGAGACGGGCTCTGGTATCACAGAGCAAGGCAGACCCTGTCTTGTGGGGTGAAGGGTGGTTCAGGCAGTAAGTGAGGATTCGTAAATTCTAGAAAAACTGAGGATCAAAGGCACAGGAGTCCTGGGGAGGTCGAAGTTTTCACAAATAAGCCCAAGTCTGGGGACTTTTTTTTGAGAGTCTTACTGTTGCCCTTGGTAGCTTCTACTACAACTTTTGACTCAAGCAATTTTCTTGCTTCATCCTCCCAAGTAGCTGGGGCTAAGGCCTTCCTTAACACCCAGCTATTTTTAGGGATGAAGTCTCTTGCTTAGGCTGCTCTCAAACTCGGGAGCTCAAGCAATCCACCTACCTCAGCCTGCCAGAGTGCTAGAATTACAGGTGTGAACCACGCACCTGGCTCTGGGGACATTTTAATGAGGACTGTGCTTTCATGGGTCCCAGAATGCTCAGGGTGAGGCCACATGGCCAGGTGCCATACATAAGAACAGTGTTGGGCAGTCTTCTGCAGCTTATTCTCACATGTGAGCTCCTCAAGGGGTCCAGATAGTTGGACCAAGTGGGGCCACACAGAGCCCTGAGCCCTCACTATGAAGATGTGAAGCCTACTGGCTGAGAATCACTCCCTGGCAAGATGGCTAGTACAAGCCACCCCAGCTCTGCCTGTGCATAAGACAGGACAGAGCGGGAGAAGAACCCCAATGACACTGGCCCCAAGCAGCATTTCATAGAACCTGCAGCCAGGATTCCTGATACACACAGCTTTGCCTGCTTTGCCTCCAACACTGCCACCACCCAGGAGGGTGCAGGTCATGGAGGCAACTTCACAGGTGGGAAGATGGCTTAGTGCTGAGCAGTGGCTTCCCTAAGGTTAGCTGCATAGAGGTGGGATAGAACAGAAGCTCAGCTACAGGAACCCCACCTGCTAGCTAGAGCCCTGCACCTCTCAGCTTGTTTCCTCCTTATAAACGAGCTCATTTCCATTCCACAGAGCGATGTTGGTGGGTGGAGATCAGAGATTGGTGGAGATACTTGTCAGGAGATCCCTTAACACCTGGTTCCTGGATATGTGGCTCTAAGGGTGAAGGTGCCGATGGAGGATAAAGGAAGGATAGTGGGGGAAACACTGTCCCATCATTGCAAACAAGGTTTGTGGGGAGCAGGCTGGTAGCACATGGGACAGACAGATGGCTAGTCCCAGGGTGGGCAGGGGGATGGCAAAAGGGTGTGGGCTATTGGAGGCTACACCCAAGCAGGTAGGGCTGGCTGTACAGGGTGGGGCAGGCGCCAGGCTGGGAGGAGTATTCTGAGTTTGGGGAGAGGCCAAGGCTTCTCAGGAGCCACAGGACTGACACAGGCTGTCCCAGCTGCCATGAGGAGAGGGCTGGAGGCCTGTAGCAAACCTACGAAGAGCCAGCAGAAAGGTGAGCTGCATGTGTGGGTGTGAGTGCCTGGAAGTTGTGAAGGGAGGGTATGGCATCTGGGCTGGGGCCCTGTTCACTCCTGTGGGGTGGAGGCTTCTGGGGAAAGCCCACTCCTCCATCTCTACCCCTAGGCCAGGCCCCTGCTATCTTCAGGATGACATCTGGTAACAAAGGGTCTCAGGCCAGCCTGGCACTTGCCCCAGCTCAGATGGAAGGGTGTCCTCAGGACTGGCAGGGGCAATGGCAGGTGTAGAAAGGCCCTGTGCAGGCTCTCCACAGGGACAGAGGCAGCAGGCCTGGGGTACAGTTACAGGCCCAGGAAACAGGAGGTGCCAAAGGCTGGCCCCAGCAGGATAGGGCAGAAGACCTGCTGGAAGAAGAGACCTGGGCTGACAGGGCCTGAGGCTAAGGCAAACTCACCCCAGCACTGGTGCAGCTGGAGCTCTGAGTCCTGAGGAGCCCGGCCAGGGGATGGACGCTAACATGCTGCAACAACATGCAGCCCCCCAAGAAGCACAAGTGACAAGCCAGCCTGAGTCACTGGACTGCCCTGCCTGCTGCTCAGCCAGTACATGGGGCTTCGGGGTGCCAGTGGAAACTGAGGCATATGTTGGTGCAAGGTTTGCCCAGAGTCACAGACACCATGAGGCCAGAGTCAGGGCCCTACCTGCATGTCTGACTCAGGGCTGCTCCCTGTCCCAGGTAAAAAGGTAATGCTGACTGCCTGCCAGAACTTGGGACTTAGCTCCTGGGAAGGTATATGCATAGGTAGGGACAGAACTAGAGCTGGGAGGAGGCCAAGGGAGGGAGAAGCAGCCTCAGCATCTCCAGGAGGGCAGTAGATAAGCTGACATATCACCCAGACCTGCCTTGGCCTGGCGGGTAGTACAAGGAGTCAGGACCTCACAGACTGGTCACTGCCCCCCTGCCCCTCTTCACCCCGGGCATGGGGTCATGGCCTGGGCATCCAGTGCCCATGGCCACCAGACATTCGAGTCTCAGGACCTCCAAGTGCCCATATCCTAGTTGGTGAGCCTTAGGTAAGGCAGGGCTGTTGCTTTGACAAACACTGGGTGCCCAGGAAGGGAGGGCCCCAATGGAACCTGGTGGGGCTGGCCTAGGGAAATCAGGTGTTACTATCTACCACCTCCCAGGCCCCAAGGCATGTCCCAGGGAGGCAGTTCTTGGGCACAGCCATAGAGGAAGGGAGGCAGCCTGGGAGGGGTTGGAAGGCAGGTGGCTGTGCCAGGGCCACAGCACAAGAGACAAGGACATGGACATAGAGGTTTGGGACTGCCCAGGTGGCTTCTTGGCCTCTGCAGAGCTCCCAGGTACTGGGGCTTTCCATGCACTGCCAGGAGTCTGGTCTCCTGGTCACCGTAAACAATGGTCAGAGGGCTCTGGGCAGGCAGGTCTGCCCTGCCAAGGCTGGGTGAGCATCCAGCCCCACCTCACCCCAGGGAAATCAGGCCTGGCTGGCCCTGCTGCCTCTCATGAGTGGATAAAGGCTGAGGCACCAGCTGCAGAGAGCAAGGTATCATTCAGCCTATGCGCAGTCAACCTCTTACCGGCCCCTCCCTGGGAACCTTGGTTCTGCACCCTAGCTTCCTCAGAGCCAATGTCCTTTGTCCACTGCCCAAGCATGGTTCAGCCTAGCTCCTCCCACCCCAGGGTAGGTGTCCCAGGCCTCACAATGGCAAGGAGCTGCATGTTGTGCACGCACAGCAGAGGCCTGATCTGGTCACACCCTCCACAAGCCCTGCCAGGTGGTGGGGTGGTGGTGGTGGTGGTGAAGGAGTCCATACATCTGACACGGAGCCCATAGTGAGTGGGCTCTCAGCTAAGGCCACTCTCTGGGGAGCCTAATGTCTTGGACAGTGATGTGGGGTCTGCCCTCACCGTGGGAAAGGAGTGGAGGGATTTTGTTTTTAGGGCCCCAGGGCACACAAAGGTCTTGGTCAGGCATGCTCCACACCCAAATCTAGACAGGTGTCAGCTGTGGACAGTGGGGCCAGCTTTGGCCACAAGGGACAGGGACAGTGAGTTCTGGCCTGGCTCTGCCCTGCTTCTGAGACCATTAGGCTGGAGGACAATGACCTGGCTTTGTGCTGGCTCCAACACCCATTCAGCAGGTCACTCACCAGCAGGCCTGCCTTAGTGGGGTAAGCTGGGCTAAGGACAGAGTCTTGGCCTTAGGGACAATGCCCCATCCTCCCCATGGGCTATGGGACCCTCTTCAGGGAATTGCTGCCTTGAGCCTCAGTTTCCTCATCTGTGAAATGGGGCTAACAGGTCCACTCTCTGCACGTGTGGTTATGCCCCTGTCAGTATCCATCAGATGTGCAGCTGAGGGTGAGGAGTAGCTTCCAGACAGGCCCCCACGAAGTCTATGTGGGACTTGGGACCAGGGCCCTCCAGGGAGAGGGAGGCAGGGGACAGGGCACTACCTGGGATGCTGGCCCACTTGAGGTGTCCTTCACCATGCCTAGGATGGGCTAGACCTAGAAGGCTAAGGAAAATAGGGGACATAATCCAGGCCGCAGAGAGTCTTAGATTCTGCTGGGGAGATCCTGAACCCCATAGACCCCAGTGGAGGCAGAACCCATCCTGGGGGACTCAGGAACTGGAGGACTTGCATGCCTGGGAGGTGAGAGAGAGGGAAGCCAATGCTTACTCAGTGCCTAGTGCTTGCACCTGTTGTGTGGCTCACTGTGTCCACTCCTATGTTACAAGTAGGGACACCAAAGCCCAGGAGCATACACTGGGGAATGGCAGAGCTGAGATTCAACACCCACAACCCCAAAGGGTTTGTCTTGCTGAAGGATCAGGAGCCTATTGGACAAGGATTTGGTAGAAAGTCTGGTAATGCCTGGGTCTGCCTGGATGTGGGAACGAAGCAGACGTGTGGTGGGACAGAGCCTGGTAGTTGAAAGGGTAGGGCTGGAGGCAGAGATAGCCCAGTGGGGAGAGGGGCCCAGAGGAGGGGCAGGCAGGCTGACATTCACCAACTCCTGCTTTGGCAAGGCCTTGGACTAAACCCATTTTACAGGTGAGAAAAAAGACCCAGAGATGCAAAGAGCCTGGCAAGGTAGCCAAGGCCATCGGCAGGACAAAGGGCTGAGGCTGGCTCTGGAAATGACCCAGTCAGGAAGTCAGAGAAAAGGGGGTGGGTAGATAAGCCAGGAGGCTCTCAGAGCCCCAGTTTATAAAATGCCTACTAGGCCCAGTGCTGGGAAGAAGGGGGTGGAGCCAAGGCTGTCTCATGAGGCAAAGTCATTCCCCCAGAGTGTGTAAGAGGTAGGCTAAAGGGCCAGAGCTCAGGCTTTCGAGAAGCTTTACTAGAGGCAGTGACTTAATAAGAACATGACAGGATAGCTGTGAGAACAACCCCTCAAATGACACTGGGCCTGACCTCCACCAGCAGAACAGATGAATAGCCCTGCCCAACAGGGCTTCCAAGGACTAGGGACCCTCCAGGGTCATGAAACAGCTCAGGCTGATTTCCAAGGCCCTTTGCCCAATCTTGTCACTGATAGAAAATGCTTTTTGCCACAGTGGGTTCTACCTCTGAGGAAAGGTCAGAGCTTTGCAAAGCCTTTGGTCTGTGTCCAAGGACCAAGCCTTGAGTGTCTCCAAAGTCAGACCCCTCAGAGCCCTTCCAGAAGGCTGGCCCTGTGGGCTCCAGCCAGGGAAGTCCTTCTGACATCTAGCCACAGTGCTTCCTGCTGTATATTCACTCATTCCTGCCATCTACCTGGGGAAGGACCTCAGCGCACAGGGTGTGTGGTATGTGGCCCTGGATCAAGGGCAGGGAGCTGCTGGGGATCTCAGGCCTCATGTTGTACTAGAGGCCATAGCCTCAATTTCCCCACCTGTAGGATGAGTGGGCTGAACAAGGTAATTCCTAGTCCTTCTATCCCTGGGCATACCCTGATATCAAGTCTTCACCTTGCCAAGCCCTGAGCCATTGTCACTCAGGTGCAGTGATGGCTTCTGTCTTCGTAATTGTTCCTAGTGATGAACAAGGCCAGAAAGTGCTGACTGCACACACTGAGCCAATGTGCAGAGTACTGCAGGTCCAGGGTACTGTGGGGCTGAACAGGAGGCTTAGGAGTGAGCACCTCTGGCACATAGTAGGAACTCACCTTGGCCAAAGGGGTTACAAACCACCTTCCACACCCCTGCCTGAGCCAAGAGGAAGCCTACAGCCAAAGAGCCACCCACATGGCAGAACACACACTCACCAAGCCCCAGTGTAGCCTAAGACATAGGACCACGTTCTGGAAGCTCCAGCAGAGGGGAGGCAGACAGCAAACATAGTCAGGTGGACAGAGAGTCACAGCTGAAATTTTAAAACAGTGATGGGAGGCTCTGTACCTATAGCTCAAGCAGCTAGGGCACCAGCCACATAACACCAGAGCTTGCAGGTTCGACTCCAGCCCAGAAGTCGAAAATGACAGCTACAACCAAAAAATACCTGGACATTATGGCGGCACCTGTAGTCCCAGCTACTTGGGAGGCTGAGGCAAAAGAATCACTTAAGCCCAAGAATTGGAGGTTGCTGTGAGCTGCTCCCCAGGACAACAGCTTGAGATTCTGTCTCAAAAAAAAAAAAAAAAAAAAAAAGACAGTGATGGGACAGAGGGAATATTCTTTCCAGAGTTGACACCTGAGACAGTGGGACAAAGTGTCACCTGGGAGAAAAGTTGGTACAGAAGGTTCCAGGCAGGGGGAGCAGACAGTACTCAAGGGATGAGGTGAGTTGGGCGTGGCTTCTTGAGCTTGTAGAAGGGTGAGGAGAACAGAGTGTGGTTCCCCAGTCCCCTCCTCCAAAAAGGGAGAGTCGTCTAGTCATTCTGGCTTTGTACCTGATTGCCCGCAAGGCAGGAGGTTGCATGGGTAACAGGAAGGACAAGAAATGTACAGTCCCATCACGAGCACAGGGAGGGCACTTCACAATGGTCCCCACATTGGCATGAACCTACCAGTACCAGAGCAGGGCAGAGGAAGGGGCTGAAAGCCCCACTGCCCCTTCCCAGGAGCCAAGGTTCAATGAGACTCTCTTTGCAGAGGCCCCTGGCATGGGAACTACAACAGGGCAGGATGGGTTAGGCTCTCCCACCCTCCAAGGTCCTGCACTGTCTAAAAAAACACAGCTTGGAGGCCTTGGCTTTTTTTTTAATTCAGAGGAAATTCACATAACATAAATTGACCCTCTTTGAAGTGAATAATTCAGGGGCAATAAGCACCCCCTCTGTCTCCCAAGAAGACATTCTGCAACAAAAGCTCCTCCCCTGCATGGCTCTCCCTGGCCCACCGTAGGCACCGCCCACCAACAGCAGCTGCCAGGACACCTGGCCCAGGCAGTTGAGGGCACCTGGTGGCCAACAGGCTCCTGGGAGCCAGCTGCCACCAAGCAGACAGCGATAGAGTGTCAACCAGGAAGGACTACCCTCTACTTCTCTTCTCCTGTGCCCTCACCACAGCTGAGAGCTCAGGTGGGCTGCTAGGGAAGCAGCCACCCCCCTCATCTGGCGCAGCTTTTCAGATAGCAGTTTTGCTCCACCCACAGTGAGGCCGCCTGTGAGGGCCACGTGGCTGTGAGAATGACCAGCCAAGCGTACCTGGAGGCTGGGCCTTCCAGGGCTGGGCTGAGGAGCTTCCTGCCTCCAGGGGTAGGTGCTGGGCCCTGTGACCGCAGGCCAGAGGGAGGGAAGAAACCTGGACAGGCTCCCACTGTGGGAGAGGGAAGGAACCAAAGCTTGGCAGGTCAGCAGGAGACACGGAAGAGCATGCACCTGGGCTAGGGAGCAGGCACAGGCCAGCCAAGGGATCCAGGAGCTGGGCTACCAACAGGCAAGCAGGTGCCTGGGAGCTAGCAAGTGCTGGGTAGGTGGGCATGGGTTGGGGCTGACTCTTCCTGCCATCCAGGCTACTCCCCAGACTGCAGCAGCTCCCCACTTTCTCAGATCCAGCTGGAAGACAGTCTCTGAACCCTAAAAAGCAGGCTGCCCACAAGCCCAGGACATCAGAGGGGAAAAGTGAGGTGGGACTGCCCCAGGCAAGAAGGAGCTAGGCCTCATAGCCTGGGGGTGCTGGCTCCCAGCATTCTACCTGGCCTTTACCTGTCCTTGTACCAGCTCCTCCCCTGGAGCCCACACCTTTGCCCTCTACTCCTCCCCTGTCTGTGTGTTTTCTGCATCTACAGATGAACAACACCTCCCAAGTCCTGGGGACAGCTGGAGTCCTCCTGGCATCAGTGACGTGGCTGCATCTCAGCCCCTCTCTGGCCATGCCAGCAGGGTCGCAGGTGGACCACATGGGGAATGGCTCCCAAGGTGCCCCCCGGCTCTTCCTCACCTCCACGCTGGCCCGTGGAATCTCAGGTGTCTTCGTGTGGGCTGCCCTCCTGCTAACCTGCCATCAGGTAAGCCCTCCCCGCCTCTGAGCCTCCTAGATCCCTGTCTCCCAGGACATGGCCACAGCTCAGCCCAGCCCCATGGGTGCTTCTGGGGTCATGGGACCTCAAGGGGTGTCCCTTGGTCCAGACACAGGAGGCCCGACTGGCCCAGAGGAACAATGCCTGGGCCTCAGAGGTAGCATCAGGCCAGGGCCCAGGAGGAGGGTGCAGGCTCTCCCTGGGATATGGCACATGGAAGCCAAGCCTAAAGGTGAGGAGACCCCTCCTCAGGCTGCATCATCACTCCCCACTCTGCACACTGAGGTGCACACTGGGAGCAACATGGCCCATTTCACAGACAGGAAGACTAATGCTCAGAGAGCCAGAAGGAGAAAAAGCCTTCTCCCTGCTGAGGAACAGGGCCTGGGGATGGGGCAGGGTTTGCACTTTGTCCTACAGGGAGCTGTCAGCAGGAAGCAGGAGCCGGTCAGCTCCAGAGCTCAGTTCCAGAAGGGGCAACTCCTCTCAGCTCCGTGTGGGAAGCAGGGAACAGAACAACTTTGCCAAGCTCTGAGCTACACACAGTCCCCAGCCTCGAGTAGTCCCCAAGTGCAGGGTTAGGGACAGACTAGCCGGCTATGAAACTCTCAGATACATGAGAGGCAGACACCACACTGGGCTGAGAGACTGCCTAAGCAGGGGTGGGGCCCAGGCTTGTGAGTGGCCTTGTGCACAGGCCTGTGAGTGGCCACTGGGCCACAGGTGTTTGTCCAGAGCCCTCAAGTCAGGGCAGAGGTTGGCCTGTAGCCTGGGCAGGGGAAGGGCTGAGGGGTCACAGAGAACTGCAGAGAGATAACCTGTAAGCGGAGCTGCCCCATAAAATGGTTTGCCTGGCATTGGCAGGGGGAGGTGGATTGGTAAGTGATCTAGGGGCGGAGCCATCAGCAGACTGGCAGGCACGGGGTGGGCAGCCAGAAGCAACAGGGACCTGCTAAATGGTACCTGTCTAGGTGTGGTCTCAAGTAAACAGAACACAACCATAACACTTGTCCTGTGCAAGGACAAGCCAGGTAGAGCATAGCCACAAAGGTAGGCCCCTCCTGTTGGGCTGTCAGGGAAGACTTCTTGGAGAAGGCAGTGTTTGAGCTGAAATCCTGGAAACCAGCTATGTGTGTGTGGCTGTAGCCAGCTTCCTGGGGCCTTTCCTTGGGCTGTAGCTTCTACCCCTAAACCACTGCCAGACCCACCCTTGCATGAGGAGTCCAAGATAGGACAGAGAAGGGCCCAGTGCCCTCACCTTACAGATGGGAACCAAAATCAGAGAGGACAGTGGCTTGCCAAGGTTACCCAGCCTGGTAGTGCCAGCCCCAGGAAAGGTCTCCTGGTGCTTGGTTGTGCTGTGCTGTCTCCTGCACTGGGGCAGGGGAGTATGTGCATGATAAAGAGCCCATTTCTGATACCAGCCAGCCCAGTCCCCAAACAGCTGGGTGCACAAGGCTCTGCACACATGGTTCCCTCTGTGCAGTCTGCCCTCTGCCCACCTCCACTCACAGTACCTCCTCCAAGAAGCCTTTCCACAGCACCCTAGGACTGGGACGATAGTTAGCAGCCCATGAGCCGGGATTCCTGCTCTGCTTCCCATTAAAGACCCTGTTATTATTTCTCATGTCATTGGGAGTTTTTTGTTTGTTTTTTTTAGTTTTGTTTTTTTGAGACAGAGCCTCAAGCTGTCGCCCTGGATAGAGCGCTATGGCCTCACAGCTCACAGCAACCTCCAACTCCTGGGCTCAAGCAAGTCTCCTGCCTCAGCCTCCCAAGTAGCTGTGACCACAGG